ACACACACACACACACACACACACACACACACACACACACACACACACGTCCTGTCTAGATGACCACAGGACACCAGGCCCGGGTGGAAGCTAACTGGACTCTCATTCTCACAGGCGCCTGGATCTGGTGGGTGGCTCTGGCCTCCTCGATGCTATTGGCCTCCACTGGCCTCCTCTGGTGGTACTGCTGCTGCCCAGGTTGGCTGGTCTGGCACCCAGGTGCCCACAGGCTCGGCCACAGATGCTGCACAGCCTACAATACTTGCCACCTATGTCCTGGCCGGGTGGCTCCTGGGGATCTGTGGCTGAACTGGCCAGCTTTCCAGAACCAGAGAGGCCATCCTTAGGGGGCTTAGGTATCAGATGCGCAGGCTCTGGGGTCTGACAAGCCTGAGCTTTAAGCTCTGTTGGCTGGCTCACTTGGAACAGGTCACTCAGTTCTTTGAGCCTCAGTTTGCCTCTCTGGGAAATGGGCCAAGTCTTGTTTCCCAAATGGGGGAAAGGTTGCAGAAAGCAGAATAATTAGACTTGCTTTGCTCTGAGTTATTCCTTATTGTCCAGCACAGCAGCGTCCACGCTGGGCCTTGCTCCCAGTGAATCCGTTTTAGAAAACAGCAGCTGGCTGCATTTGAAGCGCAGCCATTGAGGCAGACGGACTAAACAGATGCTGTAGCAGGAACAGTGAGGCCCAGTCAGGTAAATAACAGACTAAATATCACCACCTATGACCATGTCAGATTAAATCAGAACACACTGACGCGAGGGCGGGGGTGGGGGGGGAAGCCCGTCTATCCAGGTCTGGGGGTGTAGCACAGTACAGTGCTCACCTAGCATGCACAGAGCCCTGGGTTCCATCCCCATCCAACACCTCACAACACTGGGCACGGGCGTATGCACCGCCCATCCCAATACTCAGTAGGTAGAGGCGGGAGCACTGGTGTTCAAGGTCACCCTTGGTCACAAAGCAAGTGCCAAGTCAGCTTGGGCTATGTGAGATGCTGGTTTATAACCGCAACCCCCCAACAAAAGCCATATAAACAGAAAATAACAGTTAAAAAAATGAGGGCACTGGAGAGACCGTAGCTCGGCGGTTAGGAATACTCATTGCTCCTGCAGAGGATCCGCATTTTCTTCCTGCCGCCCACTTGGTGCCTCACAACCATTTGTAACCCCAGGCCCAGAGAATCTGACACCCTCTTCTGGCCTCCTTGGGCACTGGTATTAGGCATGCATGGGGTATGCATATATACATTCAGACAACACACTCATACAAATAAAATAAATAAATCTAAAAAAAAATTTAATGAGCCTATCAAAACCGTACCAGAAAAACCAAGTGAAGTGTCAGTGGCTCACACCTATAATCCCAGCATGTGAGATGTTGAGGTAAGAGTTTGCCAGCCTGAGCTACAGAATAAGACCTCATCCTAAAAATACAAAAAAAGGGAGGGGGGCTGGAGCCTGGCATGGTGGCACATACCTTTAATCTCGGCACTCGGGAGGCAGAGGAAGGCAGATCTCTTTGAGTTTGAGGCCAGCCTGGTCTACATATCAAGTTTCAGGACAGCCAGGGCTACACAGAGAAACCTTGTCTCAAAACACCAAACCAGGAGAGGTGTCTCAGCCATTAAGAGCACTGGTTGCTCTTCCAGAGGACCCAGGTTCAATTCCTAGCACCCACATGGCAGTTTACAACTGTCTGTAATTCCAGTCCCAGGGGATTCAACACCCTCTTCTGGCCTCCTCAGATATCAGACATGCATGTACAGCAGACACAACTCCCACACACATAAAATAAATGAAATTTAAAAATACAAAACAAACAAACAAAAAAACAAAACCAGGCCTATGAACATAACAGACCAATGAGCAATGCAACCTCTTCTCCTGGATCCTATCCAAGGAAGGACACCCAGTGCAGGGGTACAGTGGCCACCAGCAGCTGGTGGTGTCCTAGATGGAACTGTGAAGCACTTGGGACAGTGTCCTGATGTGGGGGGTCAGTGCAGCAGGGAGCAGGGTCTCCTGCTTGGCTTGTTTGAGCTGCTAGCTGTTGGGGCCCAGCTCCTGGGTGCCTGGGAATGTTAACTGGGCTGGTAGACCCCAAGTACAGCAGGGCCTCTCAGCATCCCTGCCATTGCCTTCACTGAGGCCTCTTCCAACCTTTCGTAGCTTGTTCTGCAACACAACACACATGTATACACACATAGACATACAAACAATGCTGTGCGAAGTGTTCTGAGATATCTGAGAAATAATATTGGTCATTAGAATCGGAAGGAAACAATCTGACATTGTCAAAGGCCACGTCTGTGCGTGAAGTTGTAGCCAGTGATATGGACATAGCTTATGAATTGATTGTTAAGTCAATAAAACCTGATTTGTAGAAAGACATAATCTGCCCATCTGCCTCTGAAGCAGAGTGCTCATGACAGAGAGAACAGGCCCTGTGGGTAGGGGTGTGAGGTGACTACCCACCAACCCCACAGTTCCCCAGAGTTTTCTTGAGTGAGAGCAGCAGGAAATACTAGATAGAGGATTTAGACTGTGGAGATAAACAGATAGAAAATACAGGACAGCCTCGAGAGGTCCTGGAACCTATTCCAACGGGCCCCGACTGTCTCTGCCCTAGGGTATTTAGAGAGACGCCAAAGGGTGGAGCAAAAGACCTCCCCCCAGCACCGCCAAGTGCGGACCATCTCAGACACCTGCACTCAGGCCCGTGGTCCAGTCATCCTCTCTATGCAGACTTGCTGGGTAAAGCCACTAGGAACTTGAAAAACGGGGCTCCCACATAGGGGTGGGCACTGTGCCGTGTGGGGGAAGGATGCCTAGGGCAGGGCCTGGGGCATTCTCTGATCAGGAAATGTGTTTGGTTTTACTTCTCCTCCTGATCTCAGAAACCCTGCCCTGCCCTGCCCTCCACCCCGTTACAGCACTGGGTAACCCCTTTGTAAAAGAGACAGGAGACCTCTTGGCAGGGATAGCACCATTTATTAAGAAAAAAATCAGATAAAGACCACAGGGGTTTGTTCTCTCTAGGCCAGGTATCCCAACAGCCACAGTCTGGACCTGCCTACCCCTCAGTTGGGCCCTCAGGCTTCCAAGTAGGCAGGGCTCTGATCACCCCTCCTCCCCTTCCCAATCTGAGGTCTCGGCTGCCCCCACCAAGGCACTGGTCTTCCTGATTTCCTGCTCCCCCACACCCTGGGCCTTCACTTCCAGAAGAGTGGGGGGTGCGGCCTGGTGTGGTGGGACTTCATTGCTGGGCTCCCTTGCAGCTCCTGAGGGCAGGGCCCTGAGCTGTGTGTGTGTGGGGGTGGTCGAGGGAACGCAGGTGGAGTGGGCTGGGTGGCGGGGAAGGCGGCCAGGGCCATGGGGTTTCTGGCGAGGTGGAGGTGGAGGAAGCTGGGATATGGCCGGCGGGGAATGAGCTGCCTTCTGCTCCCAGATAGTAGCTCAGACCACTGCCAACACCCCCTCATTCAGTCTGAGAGTGAGGTACCAGGTGGTAAACTGAGGTTGGCACTCAAAGCAATGAGGACTGTCCATAGACTGCTGAAATGGGCAGCCTAGCTTTACTTTGAAGTGGGGGAAGGGGTTGGAATGGTTCTGAGCCCTGCCAGTCATGGTGCCTGACTTCAAGTCCCAGTGGTCTTCTGAGGAAAACCTCTTTCAGTCCACCTACCCTGCCTACCACCAGCCTTGGGGCTCTGCCCACACGTGTGGGAGCTGGCACACCCACCCTCCAGTCCAGCCCAGGGTGGTAGCAGCAAGCGTGGCATTGCCTCCGTCTCTTACAAAAAGTCATAATAATATTAATAATAATATACTCGACATTGTCAGGCTGGGTGCTGCCCAGGAGTCCGTGGGAGGCAGGCGGGTGCCTATGAGGGGCAGGGACGTGTATGGGCCCCTGTCTGGGCATTATGCTGCAGGTCCACGGGTTGTGGGGGCGGGCCTCCGGGCCGGGCTGAGTGAAGCACCAGATTCTTGATACAGCCTGTGATCCCAGAGGAGAACTTGCCCCTGGTCAGCGCGGCCACATCTGGGGCACCACCTACGGAAGAGGCGTGTGACAGTGAGTGAGCGGTGGAACCAGAGAGGCAAGGAAACCAGACTCCCCCCCCTGCCTGCCTCAGCGCCCTGCGGGGCACTCACCAATGTAGACAATATCCTTGGTGTTGACTGCCACGTTAGGACCTGGGGACCGGCCGCTGACCAGCTCCTCACCGTCTATCTGGATGGAGCCTCTCTGGCCCTTTCTGCAGTGTGACAGGGTCAGGCCCCTTACCCTGCGTTCCCATCCTCCGCAAATGCTCTCCCCTCGTCATGGAGACTCCCTGTAGACAAATCTGGCCCCTGCCTGCTCTCAGATCTCTCCTTTCCTACTGGCCACACACAGCCACCTTCTGGGGCCCATCCTCAGGTTGCCTCGCTTTGAAAAGCCAAGGCTGGGCTCAAGCTCGGGATTCTTCCTGCCTCCACCTCCCAAGTGCTGGGATCACAGGTGTGTACCACCACCCCGAACCCTAATGGGGCTCTGTACGGCCAGGAGCTCGGCTTCCGGCAAGGTATCCTTCCCGCATCAGTCTCTCAGCTCGCCAAGGCCCCTCCTCCTTGCCCTACCCCGCCCCCGGAAGAGGGGCGTTCCTGGTCCCACGCCCACCCCTGGTCCCGTCCCCCAGCGCCCCCAGCGCCGGACTGGACCGCTTACCGCAGCGCTATCACTCGATGCCACTCGCCATCATTGATGGGGTCTTCTGAGACGAGGCTGGCCTCCCCGCTGCCCAGTTGGTAGCTGTGGCATCAGAGATCCACAGCAGTGTGAGTTTTGGGGTGGACAAAAGGTGTCAGGTGCAGATGGTCCTGGGTGTGTGTGTGTGGCCGGGGCACCTGGAGCTGCGCAGCTTCCCACGGGAAAAGCCAGGGATGGAAGAGGGTGTGGGGGTGCTAGGACTTACCTGAAGACAAGAAGGCCATCTTGTAGTCCGAGGCTGATGAAGTCCTTGCTGTGAGTGGCCTCTCTCACCTGCCGGGGAAGCACAGGGTCTCTAGGGTCCCACACCGGAAAGCTGAGGCCCTGAGGGCTATAGTCTCAGCCTTCCTCTTACTACACTGCCCCAACCAGGAGGCCAGTTTCCCGCTCAGGAATCTCAAGACTCCTAGTCGGATGTATACTCACCACACCCTGCCAGAGCAGGAGGCCATTGGCTGTGGTGGTCCGAACCTCGAATTCGATGGTCTCAGGTGCTTCAGGAAAGCTGCGGGGGTGGGGAGTGAGGGGGTGCGGGGAATACAGGGCAGGAAGCAGTGTGTCAGGAGAAGCCTCAGTCTCAGACTCGTGTTAACCCAGCTGGACCCATAAGTCAACAACACCTATCTTACCTCCTGGAGAAGATGTTGCCAGGGAGGCCTAGGAAGCCATTGTCATAAAAGTAGGCTCCATACTGCCCAGGAGCATCTGTGCGAGAGTGGGGGACAGTGAGTGTGCATCACCGTGTCCATCGTACCTTTACTTATCACTAGTTATTATTGTGTTTGTGTATATGATGTGTGTGAGTGTGGGCATGATTGTGCCACAGTGTGTGTGTGGAGATCAGACGACTTTTAGGGGTCACTTCTCTCCTTCCATCGTGAGTTCCAGGGACCAAACTCAGGTCATCGGGTACCTACATTTTCACTACTCCCCCCCCCCCCCCAGACAGGGTTTCTCTGTCTAGCTATCCTGAAACTCACTCTGTAGACCAGGCTGGCCTCAAACTCAGAGATCCACCTGCCTCTGCTGGGATTGAAGCTGTGCGCCACCATCGCCCAGCTCACATTTTTACTTCTTAAAAGAAGGGCCTACTTCACCTCTCCCTCTCTTCCTCCCATGCCCCCACATGTATTTAATTTTCTGTGAAAGAGGGTTTTGTTGGCATCTATGTTTACACCACATGTGTACCTGGTGCCCACAGAAGTCAGAAGAGGGCATGAGAGTCCCTGGAACTGGAAATTCAGGTTAGTTACCATGTGAGTGCTGGGAACTGAACCTGGTTCCTCTGAAAGAGTAGCAGCTTGACCATTCTGCCATCTTTTATTTTGTGGCTTGGAAAGATGGCTCAGTGGAAAAGAACTTGCTCTTCTTCCAGAGATTCTGGGTTCAATTCCCAACACCCCCAAGGCTTTACAATTGTCTACAAGTCCAGTTCCAGGGGATCTGAGGCACCAGACACACATGGTACAAATACACGCATGTAGGCAAAATGCCCATACACATAAAATAAGAATTAAAAAAAAGATTTATATATTTTTAATTTATTTTTATTTTAGGTTTTTGAGATAGAGTTTCTCTGTGTAGCCCTGGCTGTTCTAGAATCCACTCTGTAGACCAGGCTGGCCTCAGATTCATAGAGATCCACCTACGTCTGCCTCCCAAGTACTGTATTGTGTGTGCGTGTGTGTGTGTGTGTGTGTGTGTGTGTGTGTGTGTGTGTGTGTGTGTGTTCATATCAGTGCTTGTGGAGGTTAGAAGAGATGGTCAGATCCCCCAGATCGGGAGTCACAGGCAGTTGTGAGCTGCCTGATGTGGGTGGTGAGAACTGAACTCAGGTCTTGGTAGGAGCCTCAAGCACTCTTGAGCCATGTCGCTAGCCCCACACATTTGTGCTCTTAAGTATACGGAATTCCAGAGAACGAGTCCCGCACTGTTCAAAGGGGGCACACAAGAGATGCTTGCTGACTGAGGGAACTGATGTCAGAGCGCTTCAAAGGCCCGCCCAAGGTCACTTTGCCAATAAGTTGTGTATCACTCTGTCCCTCTTTGTTCCTTCCTATCTGTGCCCAGTGAGCTCCTCCCATGGGCTTGTTTTACTTGAGGACCCAAACTGAGGTATAAATAACTGGAGGAAAAGAGGCTGAGAGACCCAGACCAAGAAGACGAGGCCACCCATTTGCCCAGCTGGCCACAGGGAGTACGTACCATTGCCTCCACTGCCTTCAAGGTGCCAGTCAGATTCCACTATGCCATAGCCAGGGCCTGTGGGGAAGGGTGGGATCTAGCTGACAGATACCCAGTAACTGCGTCTGTCCCCAGAGGAGGGTGGAGAGCAATTAATAATACATACCTAGTTGGCAGTGTGGACCAGAGAAGCCAGGGAGACAGAAGCAATAGGTACCCCGGCAGGTGCCACCATTCAGACAAGGCTCTTGGAGCTGGCAAGGGTTCTCTTCATGCTCACACAGGTCTCCTGGGGGCCAAAGCAAAGGTGGGTGGGCAGGAGCTAGCTACCCTCTGACCCTTGGCCTGCTGGCCCCATGCCCTGCTGTGTCCTGGGCTGGCTCTGGTACCTTTAAAGCCGTCTTGACACAGGCACTGGAACTCATATTCGCCCGCGGGCATGCATGTGGCACCGTTCCGGCAGGGCTGGCGCTCACACGGGGAGCTGTCGTAGCACTGCCCCACACCGTGGCTGCCCAAGAAGTTGTAGGTGAGGTCCAACCGCTTGCCATTCACCGACACCTGGCATAGGAGCACCAAGGGACTCATGGGGTGTGGGAGGCGGAGAGACATGGGTGTGCCAGCAGAGTAAGCACGTGCTAGAGAGAGTATCTGGGACGTCAGGCAGGGGCATGAAAAGTGGCATAGGACCCCAAGTGTGGAAGGGAGGCCTTGAAACTGAGCATCTCCTGTGTGGCCAATCCCCAACAGTGGCTACTATTATCCCTATTTTGAAATAAACCGACTCAGCAGAAAATGTGTGGTCCCAGGGCCCCGGGCGAGGCAGGTGGTCCCACACTGACCCCTTCCCTCCCACTGACCCTCCGAGGGCTGCTCCTCACCTCGCCCACACAGCCACGGAAGTGAGCACTCATATTGATGGCTGGGGACAGCTGCATGGAGGGCTCCACACCGCCCAGGTAGAGCAGCGTGTGCAGGTTGAGACCCTGGCTCTTCCCTGGTGAGGAGCGCAGCACGGGGTGCCCTCCATCGACCTGCAGGCTGCCATCTTTGTTGAGGCGCTCTGCAGACACTCGGTGCCAGCGTCCCAGGGCCAGTGGGTCAGAGCTCCGGAGAACAGCCAGACCTGATGAGACCAAAGGCAGCACTGGGTATTGGCGGGACCCCGAAACTCTCTCGCTCTAGGGTGTGATTAACGGGATACTTCTCATAGATTTGAGGAATCTCTGATGAGGAGTTTGTGGCGAGGGGCGGCCTTAAAGTCACTGAGAAGCATGCAGGAACAAACCTTAGAAGGTCTGGCTCCTGATCGTATCCCCTCTTGCCTCCTAGCCATATGGTGACCCCAAAATAGTGCAGAGCTTGGCACCCAGACTCACCCACACATGGCACCCAGTGCTTACCTGACCCCAGCTCATAGCGGAACTCCAGGTGGCCATCAACCATCGCTAGGGACACAAAGTCTTCCACGGGCCCACTCTTGCCCCCACTGAACAGCAAGATCCCATTAGGTTCCAGTGGCTTGAACTCCACATCCAGGCGTAGCTCATGGTGAGTATTGGTGAGAGCCGGTAGTATCAGGTAGGAGCCAATGCCAGACAGAGATGGGGTGGTCACCGTCACACCTGTAGCAGCCATAGCTTAGCTAGGAGCCGTGAGGATAGCAGCATCCTGGGCAGGAGCCTCCCCCCTCCCAGACCCTGTCAGAGGCTCAGGACCAGCCCTGCCCATCAGGCTGAAGATTCCCGGGAAGACAGAAGCCCTCTTGGGGAATACCAGGTAAGGGACTCAGGCTAGACAGGAGTGTGGCCAGTTGATTTTAACATTTCCTTGCTTTAGACTAGCTTTATTACTCACAAGACTTGTTATAGCCCCAGCGTGCCTTGTGTGATGTCCCCAGCCATCACTCACTCACCTTCCTCACACCTCATCCCTGACCGGCCCAGGTGGCAGCGACAGGTGAAGCCTCGACCATCTGGCCGGTTCACACAGGTGGCGTCGGGCCCACAGGCCTCTGGAGGCATAGACAAGAGGCAGGGGGATAACTCAGCAGAGGAGATTCTCATGCCTAAATTCTGCCTTTCACATTTTTGGGGACTTAGGCTCTTAGGGCTAAGCCAGCCTGGAAGGACTGTCCAGGTCCAAAGTGGGGGCAGAGTCAAAAGAAGGATAGTGTTAGAGAGGACCCCTAGGGACAGCTGTGGCACCTGTGTACCTGTGTTGGTTTTTGCTTTTAGGAGTCTTGCTTTGTAGCTGTGGCTAGCCTGGAACTCACTATGTAGTTCAGTCTGGCTTTGAACTGGTACATGATCCTCCTGCCTGTGCCTCCTGAGTACTGGTGGTATTATGGGTAAGTGGCCATCTAGCATGTGCAAGGCCTTGAGTTCAATCATAGCACATACATACACATACAAGACTGCACCTAGGTAAGAGTGTAGGGTATGTGTGCCTGACTCATGTAATGGAGAGGCAGTGGAGACCTAGATGGCAGTGTCTGGGCTACAGAGAGAGGTTAGTTACCACCATGGGAGGGGTCTTAAGTTCTTGAGGAGGAGGAACGGAGAAGTGGGGTGGGGCACTCACCTGGGTGGCAGTGCAGTGACTGTGAATGCTCACAGCGGCTGCCGATGAAGCCAGGAGGGCAGACACAGGTGTAGCTGGTGCTTTCAGAATCATGGCACTGGCCTCCATTCTGCAAAGCAGCCGCAGGCGTCAAGCCAAGGAGGCCACAGCCCCCCCCACCCCCCCACCCCCCGCCCAGGGGCAAGCCATGGCTCAGGGCAGCTGGGGAGTGGTATGTGAAGAGCCACCTGGCAGGGTCGGTCCTGGCAAGTTGGGCAGTGGGAGATGCCATGTGTTGTAAGGTTGAAGTCGTGGAAGATGATCTCTTCGCCTTGGATGTGCAGCTCACGTATACAGCCTGAAGGGTGGGGCAGGATTGGGGGAGGCAGGATGAACAAATGGAGGGGATGGTAAGTTGGCCAGCTGCAGCCCACATCTATTGTGCCCCCCTTAGCTTATGGGGCTCTATGATCAGCCGGGAAAGTTTAGCTGGGGAGTGGGGAGAAGGAAGGCTCACCTATAAAACCGCTGTTGAGCCCGGCCTTGGGGATGGCGCCGTAGTCAGGATAGCCACCCAGATACAGCTCCTCATTCAGGTCCAAGCCTTGGAATTTGCCCTGTGGAGGTGGGTGAGTCACGTCTAGCTATCAGGTTAGGTACAGGCTGGGAACTGGAAACAGGGGACAGGTTGGGTCTCACCTGGGAGGTTCCATTAACAGGAGCTAAATTGCCCACAATCAGAGATCCATGAGTGAGGCTCCGTAGCAGGGTCACGTTGTAGAACTGGCCTAGGGTCAGTGGTGTGGGGTGGCGGATCGTGGCCATGCCAGAGCCAGCATCAAATCTGCTCCGCAGGGTGGGGCAGGGGCAAGAGAGAGTGTTTGTAAGCGCAGCTTCAGGCAGGCCCAGGCTGGGCAATGGGATCCAGAGGAAGGATATCATCATTCCCTGTGGTCCTGGCTCTGAAGTTTCTGTCTGATTTGTTTTCCCTTCATCACCCAACCCAGGCTATGCCCACCTCTTCCAAAAGTTCTCTTCCTCACTGCCTTTCTGTGGGAGCATCTCCCGAGCAGGCTTTTAGAACTGGGAGAATTCTCTGCTCTGAGGCCTTGCAGCCTAGTGCCCGGCTTTTGCCTTTGAGACGACCTTGCTTTTCTTTGTTAGGGTTTGGCTTCCCCAACTAGAGTGGACACTCCTATAGGGTTCAACCTAACTTGTTCTGTTCATACCTGTAACTGTGCCTGGCACATGGCAAGAGTCAAGCAAGTAATTATTGAATGGATGAATGATTGGTGAGAGGATGAATGAACAGATGGATGGATGGATGAATTGATGGATTCATGAATGGATGGATGGATGAGTAGATGAACAGGTGATGTGAATGAATGGATGAAGATGGATGGGTGGGTGGGTGGATGAACAGATTGATAGATAAATGGGTAGATGGATAGATGGATGGATAGATAGGTAAATGGATGGACAGGTGGATAAATGGATGGATGGATGAATGGGGTGGTTGATGGATGAAAGGGATGAATACATGAATGAATGAATGAACAAGTAGATGGATGAATGAATGAATCCTGCCTGCAGTAGTCCTAAGCTTTTGAAAGATCCCTCCTCTGCCTGCCCAGGATATGGTGCCTCCTCCAGTAGACTGAGTGGCCATTAAGGGTAACAGCCATAGCTACTTTTTCTATAGATTCACCATAGTATAACTCAGCTAAAGCAGAATATGCCCAACTAAAACCCGTGTCCAGTCCCCAGAAGACAGGGAGGTAGAGATCTCACCGGAACTCGGGCCTTCCGCCCACCAGGCCAAAGGAGATGAAATCAGGCTGCCTGTTGGCTAAGTTGGTTTGACTCCTTGGGATCCGCTTCTGCCCGTTGTACAGTAGCATCCCTGGAGGGCATAGCAGTGTCAGCAGCCTCCCCTCTGGTCACCTAAGCTCTTCTTGAGCCAGTGGTTCCCAGCCTTCCTAATGCCATGACCCCTTAGTACAGTTCTTCAGGTTGTGGTGACCCCCCCAAATCATAAAATTATTTTGTTGCTACTTCATCACTGTGATTTTGCTACTGTTGTTAATCCTAACATAAATATCTGCTGTGCAGATGGTCTTAGGCGACCCCTCTGAAAAGGCTGTTTGGTCCCCAAAGGGGCCATGACCCACAGGCTGAGAACTGCTGGCCTGAGCCTTTCCACTCTGTGATCCCTCACTCTGGAAGGTGGCCAGAAACCTCACAGTCAGGGACCTGAGGAGAAGAGGTTTGCCAAGAGTTCCTACAGAAGATCTGACTTTTTGGGCACACATCCTTAGAGTGTGTCTGAAGGAGGAGAGGGAGGCAGAAACTCACCTGAGTAGAGAATGAGGCCTGGACAGTGAGAGTGAGAGATCAGCAAGATGAGAGGATGAGGGGAGAGAGAGAGAAAGAGCCATCAGATAAAAAAGAACACTGAGCAGGACAGGAAGATGGGCCAGGAGGGCTGGCCACCAAGGCAGCCATGCGGCAGGACCAGGTAGAGGCCAGAATGTCACAGAGGAGGGAGTGAGAAGCAAGGAGGCAAGAGAAACCCAGTGGACCCTGGATGCAACAGGGCTTCTGCCAGGGTCCCTACCCTACCTACCCCAGGACAGCCTCCATACCTCCCAGGTGCCTGCTTACCATCTGCAGAGTCTGGCCGGAAGGTGATCTTGATCTTAAACTTCCTGTAGGCGTCTTTGATGGTGGGAAGCGGCAGGAAGGAGTGGGGTGTCTGAGTGAAGTAGGGTACCACTCGCTCTGCAGAGAGAAGACTGTCAGAGAGACACCTTCTGTGGGCCCAGTTGGCATGCCTTGCCAGTTAGGGCTGGAGCTGTCCTACCTGGCACCTGCAGGTAGGCGAAGGCTTTGACCTTGCCCTGCCGGTTGGTGGCCGTGCACACATAGGTCCCGGCGTCCTGGGGGCGGACTGATGGCAGCATCAGCATGTTGTTCTCCAGGCGGCTGTCAGGTGGCAGGTCACCATCCACCTATAAACACTGGCACTGAAGGCTTGGCATTGTCTCATGCCCCTACTCTGCCCCAGGCCCATCTTCAAACTGGGCATTCCCTCTTGACCAGGTCCTGTGGTACCGAGTTGGCTCAGAGCTGGTCCTGGCCTGGAGGAACGGCTGGCACTTGCCGAACATTTACCTTGCTCCAGGTGATGGCAGGGGTCGGGTAGCCTGAGACCATGCACGGGAAGACGGCTGCGGAGCCAACAGGCACTCGGACCTCTGGGAGAGTTGAGATCTGCGGCAAGGCTGGGGGACAGACAGAGGCCATCCATGTGATGCATCCACCAACTTTGTGCTACCTCATGCTTTTCTAGTCTTCATTTTACTCTGGGAGAGAGGCACTGTGTCCACTGTACAAATGGGGGCGGGAGGGACTATGGCTGATCATTCCTGGTTGGAGAGTTGCAGCTCAGGCCTAAGCTGGCTGATATCACTTCCCGCCTGAGCAGACATCTGCACAGCAGGGGACCTGAGAACGGGACACTAGGGTGGTGTAGGTGAACTGGTAGGGAGTAAGGAATTGTCTTTAAAGAAAACAGGTTTGTGTCTACTGCCTACCTACAGTGAGTGCTTTACTTCCATGGTGTCTTTTTATTTATTTACTTTAAAATTACATTTATTTATTTGTTTGTGTGTTTATGTCTGTGTATGTGGGCACATGCCATGCATGTGTATGGAGGTCAGAGGACAGCTTGCAGGAATCAGTTCTCTCTTTCCACCATGAGGGTCCTGAAGCCTGGCAGCAGGTGCCTTTACCCCATCTCCACCCCCTTTTTAAAAAAAGAGGTTGGGTCTCTCATAGCCCAGGCTGATCTCTACCGCTCTGTGTAGCATAGGGTGGCCTTAAACCTATGATTCCTCTTGCCTTCACCTTGGAAATGCTGGATTATAGGTGTATGTTTATTTATTTTGAGATGGTGTCTTACTATGTAGCCCAGGCTGGCCTCAAACCCAAGCTCTTTCTTCCTCAGTCTCCTGAGTGCTGGGATGGCAAGTGTGTGTCACCACTCTCGGTTTTACATGGTCTGTTTCTGTAAAGTCTACCATCGGACTAGGGTATGGGTCTCCGCCATCAGACTAGGGTATGGGGCTCCTCCATTAGAGTAAGGGTTATTTCTCCTCTTTTTCTTCCTTCTTTTTTTGGAGATAGGGCCTCACTATGTACCTCTAACTGGACTGGAACTCGATATGTAGACCAGGCTGGTCTCAAACTTACAGAGACTGGCTTGCCTCTGCCTCTTGAGCCAGCAAGCCCAAGAATCCACCTGTCCCTGCCTCCCCAGAGTCCTGGGATTAAAGGCATGTACCACCACACTAGGTCTACTTTTTCTTCTTGATAGCCTTTGGCATGTAGCCTGCTCAGACAAACACTCACATTTATTCATTTGCTGGGAAAGCTGTCTCTGAAATATAGACACTAGGAGATCCCCAGGATAGCACAGAAGGAGTGATGTAGCAAGACGGAGCTGGCAGCACCTCAAGGTCCTGTCCCTCCCCGTCCCTCCCTGTCCCTCCCCCGTCCCTCCCCTAGTCCCTAGTGGTCTCTACCTTGTACGAGCAGCAGCACATGGGAATGGGTGGTACCAGCAGCATTGGTGGCCATACAGCGGTACTGTCCTGCGTCAGCCAGCTCCACATGGGCAATCCTGACGACATTTCCACTTTGCACAATGCCAGGCCTTAGGTGTCCTCCAACTTTGCTCCAAGTTATCTGAGGCTTCGGGTTACCCAGTGCCAAGCACTCCAACTCCACAGAGTGGCCAACAACCACAGAGTGCACAGAGGTGCGGACGTTGATGAGGACTGTGGGTAAGGCTGGAGGAGAGGCAGAGTGGTGAGCGAGGCTCAGGGAGGTCAAGGTTGGGGGAGAAACGGTGTGATGAGCCAGGCCACGGGGAGGTCAAATCTGGGAGGATGGCTTAGAGCCCTAGGCACTCAAACATCTTCTGGCTTGCTTTTCATGTGGCCACTCACACATCCAATTGTTAAGCTTCTGTTTGTGCATGCACTCAAGTAGCTGGGCACCCACTCAAGTAGCTGGGCACCCACTCCTACACCCAGCTCCCTTTTTCCTTGCCATACCTTTCATGGCCATTACTCCATGCAAGGTGCAAGCAAGGAAAATAGAATAATTCTCTTTATCACGCACATTTACAGCGTTCCCTTGGAGCAGGGGCACACCCGACCACCGTTACTCTCTATCTCTGGCCCTGCTCTTAGCAGAGGCCTGACGCCACCTCTTACCGTGAACAATTAGCTGGGCACTGGCCTGGGCTTCTCCCCAAGGCCCATGGGCATGACAAACATATTTCCCTTGGCAGCTCTGGTCTATGTTCTGGATTCTGAGAAGAAAGAAAGGTGACGTCATAAGGAAAGCCATGGGAAATGTTTTCAGCTGTGTGAATTAAAACAGGGCCTGATGAGATGACACAGGGTAAACCACTTGCCCTTAAGTCAGGTGATCTGAGTTTAATCCCTGGGTCCTACATGGTAGAGGCAGAGAACTGATTCCTGCAAACTGTCCTATGATCTACACACACACACACATAACGGCATGTACATGCCAACATGTACACATACTTAATTACCTAAACAAACACACAAACAAACAAACAAATAAAAACAAATAGGAGACAGACCAGAACCCAGGGCCAGTGCCAGTGAACAGGATGCAGGCAGACAGGGTGGTGCACCAAACCATTTCATCTCATCTATCTATCCATCTATTATCTATTCATCCATCCATCCATCCATCATCCATCTATCTGTGGTATTGGGGATTGAACTTTAGGCCTCACACATGCCAGGACACCGCTCTACCAATGAGCTACATTCTCATTTGATTTTTTTTTTTTTTTTGGTTTTTTCGAGACAGGGTTTCTCGGTGTAGCTTTGCGCCTTTCCTGGGACTCACTTGGTAGCCCAGGCTGTCTCATTTGATTTTTACTTTATTTGGAAACATGCTTTCAACTAGGTTGCCCAGGCTGGCCTAACTCACTATGTAGCCTTGAACTTACGATGCTCCTCCTTCAGCCTCCCTATCATAAGCCTGTGCCCTGAGGCCTGGTTCCCACGCCCATCTCAGACACAGATTTCTTGCTCTAAGGCTCACTGTCACACTGACTCAAGGTCCCACTGTGACCGAGCTGCAGATCTCTGGCCCCAGTTTCTTGCCTTAAATAACAGGAATGCAGAGTTGGGCACAGTGGCTCACATCTGTAATCCCCGTACTGGAGAGGCTGAGGCAGGAAGAACATAGCTAGCTAAGAGGCCAATCTGATCTACATAGTGAGTTTCAGGCCAGCATGAACTATAGAGTAAGACCTGGTCTCAGAAATACCAAAATACCAAAACCAAATAATACCAAAAACCAAACCAAACCAGAACAGAAGGAATGCAGGCCACTGTTAACAGATGGCCTTCCAGGCGCCAGGAAAGCACTAAGCATTTTAAAGACACCAGCACTTCAATTTCCTAACTTACTGACCATTGTGAGGCTCAGAGGCCAAGCAGCTCCCTCAAGGACATTGCTCTGTCCTGAGCCCCATAGGCGGGTGAAGTGACTCAGTCCCACGGAGCATTCGGCTGGGGAGTACCTGAGTCCAGTCCACACCCACCACCACTCACCGGAGGACTCCATCCTGTACACTGTATCCAGGAGGCAGCTGACCTCCCTCCTTGAGCCAGCGAAGGTGCGTGCCTTGTTCACTGGGCACAGCACAGTGGAACTCAACGCTGGCCCCGATGTTCTTGGTCTCTACCTGAGGAGTGACTTGTACAATGGGTGTATATCCGACTGGGATGGATGTGTTAGGGAGCTCGCCAGAAAAGCCTGTGGAGACATGTGAGATGGAGTGATTGATCGATTGATCGATTGATATTACAACAGGGTCTCATGTAACATAGGCTATCTTCAGACTCACTATGTAGCTAAGGATGACCTTGAACTTTGAACTTTGGATTTTCCTGCCTGAATGCTGGGATCACAGGCACATGTCACCACATCTAGTTTATGTGGTGCTGGGGACTGAACCCAGGACTCAGTGCACGTTAAACAGGCACGAGCCCAGCCTAAGTGCCTGAGGTTTTATGTATAGGGTTTTGAGAAGAGGTCTCTCGTCTGTTGTCCAGAATAGTACTTGAACTCCTAGGCTCAAGGGCTCCCTCAGCTTAGTATCCTGATGAGCTTGGACTAAGGTCCACAGCATCACACAGGACACTGGTGGTTCTTTTGTACATATGTATGCATCACATCCCTGCCTGGCACGCCGGGGTACCAGGATACCCTCATCTCAGCATTCAAGGGACGTTCTTCTGAGAGCCTCTCTAGCCAGACAACAGAGTCCTTTCAATACAGATCCATTCATCTGCTTGTTCTCACACTCATTCATTCAGTGCACATAAGGGCCAGCGTGGGGTTGGGCTTTGCCTCTCAGAGTCTGGGCCCTTGGATAGGGAAGGTGGTCTAAGACATGAATGGCCGGGAGGGAGACACATTTTTGTTTCCTTTCTCTTTATGTATGAAAAAATATTGAGGTTTAACATGAGCTAACTCAGCTAAAGTTATCTCTGAGGCCACAGTCCAGGCCCTTGACCAGTAAGCTAGGTGCTCTCCTTGCTTCTAGACTTTCGTGTCCAAAGGCTTGTGTGGCTCTGTAGGAGTCCACAGCACAGGGATGTTAGAGTCTCCACAGTTACACCAGGGTCCTGGGCCTGTAAGAGGTGGCCCTGTCACATATTCCCTGCTGTTTGTCAAATGCTCATTTCCTTTCCTCTGGGCCTGTGGTGGACAAGCTCAGGCCTTCTGGGACAGTAGGGTCCAGGCCTTGCATTGAGCGTCCTTCTTGCCTGGCAGGTGAGGGAACTTCCCGTGCAAGTGCAAGGCAGGGCAGCAAAGTGGCCTGAAAGCTAGGGAGCTGCGAGAAGTAACGGAGGGAAGGTCTTCCTGGCTAAGGAAGCAACCTCAGGCCTTAGAGAGGGACACTACAGACGGGCAACAGCCTCTGTATCTATCCCAAGTGTACATGGTCAAGAGGAGCCCTGCAGGGAAGCAGGCGCCTGGCTTCCCACTGGGACTCCAGCTGCTTACCTTGGACCAGCACTAGGGCAAAGGCCTCAGCTGAGCCCACTTTGTTGGAGACCTGGCAGCGGTAGCGGCCAGAGTCTGCAGGGCCCAAGGGCTCCAGGTGCAGCAGCTCGTTCCTGACAACGGCCCTTTTGGGCAGGACGCCAGCCATCCGGCTCCACTGGAAGGTGAGTGGGGGCGTGCCATGAGCCAGGCACTGCAGCTGAACCAGATTCCCTGGCTGCACCGAGGTGTGCTCTGGAATGATCGTAGCGTATGGAGGACCTGGAGGACACGCACAGAGAGCAGGTGGGAAAGGGCAGACGTCAGGATCACAGCAGGGAGCTGGAACCAGGTAATGCCGTTAAAGCTTCTAGGGACCAGGAGGAGACATGGGTGGCAGTCAGGACAGGCTCCGGAGTCCTCTGGATGGATGGAGAGCCTGGGGTTCTACCCAAAGAGGGGCTTTTTCAGGGGAACATAGACCTCCACGCAACACTGACAGAAGTCCAAGGAGAGGGTATGGGAGACTTACTCTCCACGTGCAGGACAACAGTGGCTTCAGCATGCCCGGCAGAGTTGGTGGCATTACAGATGTACTGGCCTGAGTCTTGCTGGGCCACCTGGGGAATGACCAGTGTGTTGTCTTCTATCTGGTGCTGCCAGGGCAGCGGGGAGCGCAGCTTGGACCACTGGATGGTGGGCGGGGGGTTGCCTATGGGGTTGAAGATGCCATTGGTCACTAGGTTGTTCCAGGGACCAATCAAGTGTGGGGGTGATAGGAAAAGGGTTCTAAGTGACCTCTCCCTCCATGGGTCTGGCTAAGTGGATGCTTCCGGGGCATGACATCATCTTCAGATGAATTCAAACCCCAGAGCAGCACCGCTCTGCCTTTCTGTGGGTCCCCATCACACCTGTGGCTGAGCAGTGTAGCATGGCCGTGTGTCCAGCCTCCAAAGTCAGCTCAGCTTCTTCAACTTGGACCTGGGGGGCACCTGGGACCACAGTGCCAGTGTCCACGATCACCTCCACCTTCTTCTGTGCTGTTCCAAGGGCATTCTGGGCTAGGCACACATAGGTGCCTGCATCTGATGGTTTAGCTGATAGAATCTAGAAGAAAATAGTCTGGTTTTGGGGTGGCCAGAAGAGAACACTGATATTGATCCCTTCCTTTGTATTTTGATTATTGTTTTTGTTTTCTGAGCTAGGGTCTCATGTAGCCCAGGCTGGCCTTGAACTCTATGTTTGATGACAATCTTGATTTTCTGATCCTCCTGCCTCCACACCCTGAATGCTTCAAGTACAGGCACATGCCACCATGATTTGTTTACATAGTTCTGGGGACAGAAGCCAGGATTTGGTGCACGGTGGACGAACACTTTCCCGACTGAGCTACATCCCCAGATGCCTTCCTTTGATTTTAGCTCTTCTGTGTGCTGCTGGAAGGCCTGTCTTCACAACTTCCCATGAGTCCACCTGTATGCTTAGCTACCAACCTACCCATCACTCAACTACCCGTCCACCCAGGCTTCGGAGTCATTCTTTCTTCCTTTCCTTCTCTCTTCTACCCACCAACCTCTTCTTCTCTGTCCATCTACTTATGCTCCCTCTAGGCACCTGCTTCAGTCAGCTCCCAGAAAGGACCTCAGACCCAGACATGAAGCAGCCCCCACCTCACCTTCAGCATCGCGTGGCTATTCATGAGCCCATATACCCGCGGCTCCAACTTCACAGGGGTGCCGAGTCGGGTCCAACGGGGGGAAGAGCGGGGTTCCCCAGAACTGATGCACTCCAGGGAGATGTCCTTACCCAATTTCACATGCACAGGGCCCTCAGGGAGCACAGACACTATAGGAGACCCTGTGGGAGGAATATGTCACGCAGAGCTGTGGGTTACATCCGAATCACAGTTCACGACTGAATACCATTCTTATGTGGGAATTGACTTAGAGGGGCTGGCAGTGGCGGGGCAGATTTTAAACCCGGAGAAGCTGGACTGGCAAGAGGGGCAGAGCCATGGGGTGGTGTCTCTCACCATGCACATTGAGATTGACGACGCTCTGGGCCACACCATAGGCATTGGAAGCCACGCAGCGGTAGGCTCCATGGTTGCTGGGCCGGGTGCTCATGATGGTAATGATGGAGCCATTGGGGCTGATGTGGATGTTGTCTGCAGGGTTGCATTGGGAAAGGGTGATGGTTAGTGTTAGCTGTCTCTTGATAGGATTGAGAGCCAACCTGGGAGACAGTCCTATGAGGGATTATCGAGATTGGGTTAACTGGTGTGGGAAGACTCATGTTGACTGTGGAGAAAGCTATTCCCTGGGCAGGGAATTCTGGACCGCATGAAAAGAGAGAGTGAGCAGAATGTGGGCATTCATTCATCCCTCCCTGCTTCCTGGTCACGGATGTCACGTGACCAGCTGCTTCCAGCTCTTGTTGCCTTGATGGAGCATAACCCCCAAGCTGTGGCCCGAAATAAGCGCCATTTTTTCCCCAGATTTGCTTTTATCAGGGTACTTTATCACATCAATACTAAGGGAGGGAAGGGAGGGAGGGATAGCCCACTGTTGATCCTTTGGGTCCGGGCATAGGACTTAGGTCACAGATGGCAGTAAGTGAGAGCCCTTGGAGTCTCCCAGGTCCTGCTCCATCACTACATGGATGGGTTCAAGCCTCACTCAGAGCCACTGGTGAACATGGCATGGACCCAGCTTTCTGTCCTGACCCTCCCCCACCCGATGGCCCTCCCTCCTGCCTCCAGCCCAGGCAGCTTGCCACTCACCCTCCATCTGTTGGTTCTGCATCTTCCACTCCAGGTTGATGGGCGCTGCTCCCTCGTGGATAAGGCACTTGAAACTGGCATCTTGGCCCTGCTGCACTGTGATGCTGGGTGGCTCAATGGAGATGACAGGACTCCTGAGGCCTGGATGGAGTCCAAGGGTCCGAGTCGAGGCTCAGTAGGCTGGGCTGGCTACTACACTCAGGTAGGTCAGGCCTGGGCTCCAGGCCCCCTCCCCCCCTCCAGGCATCTCCCATACTCACGGTAGGAAGACCCCGCACTGGGTGGGACTGTGATGATGAAGGAAGCTTTATGCTCGGGGTGGGAGCTACCAACCACTTGGCACACATATTCGCCAGAGTCGGCAGGGGAGATGTGGTGGAGCCTCAGCAGGGAGCCATGGGTCTGCCAGAAGAGGAAGAGAAGGAGGCCATCAAGGGTTCTGAGATGAAGTGAGTTCCCAAGCGAGGCTTAGGAGCCAGGCCTGCAGCTGTGGGCTAAGGGCGCTTCCCACACAGCATCTCTGAAGTCCGGCCTGTTCTCTTTACTGCTAGCTGAAATGTCATGCTGGGAGGGAAGCCCTGACGGACACCTGGTTCCCACGATCCCATGAATGCTGGGTACAGAGGAAACTGCAGGAGGAGACCGTGCCTGCCCGGGGCTTCTTCCCACCCTGACTGGGTACCTGGTGTCCTTCAGGCAGGCTGCCTCCTTGTTTGTACCATGTGACACGGGCATGGGCCTGCCCTGGGACCACACAGTTCAGATCCAAAGTCTGCCCTTCAGCCACGTGGGAGGAGGAGGACTCTATGTAGACAGGCTGGACCAGTTCTGGGGCTGCAGGCACAGAGGTGGGGAACAGTCAAGGCTCCTGGGGTGAGGGCAAGGATCTAACTGTGGTGATCTTCTTGGAGGTGACATGGCTGAGCCATATCAGCCAAGGAGGTCTCCCTTCCCTGAGTCTGAGGTGTTGTGCCGAGAACCAGGACTGGGTTCCCACTGACTGAGGGTGATCGAAGGACTATGGACCCAGACACAGATCATGGGAGCTTTGACCTGGGTGGGCTTGATCCTCAGCCATAGGAAAGCCAATGCCCCAAGAACAATGCCATGCCTAGCCAACTACACCGACAATTATCTGTAATTCCAAAACTCAGTATGGGCCACAAAGTGAGACCTTGTCTTAAAAACAAACAAACAAACAAAAACCCAACAACCATAAAACCTACCAAAATAAAAGCCCTATGTGAGAAAACAAGGCCAGGAAAGCACTGCCCCCAACTTTACCCACAGCTCCATGCCACTCACCAGGGATGGGGCTGGGGTTAGAGGCCTCGATGGTGATCGGGATGGAAGCCTCCAGGGTACCTGAGCTGCCTGTCACTTGACATGAGTACTCGCCAGAGTCCTCTGGGGACACATAGTTCAGCCTCAGCGTGTGGTCATGGACCTGCATAGAGGAGGGAGGATGGGGAGGGGCTGAGGAGCCTCCGCATGCCCTACTCTGGGCTACACAAAACTCTGCTTCTTATGCAATAGACAGTAGAGTTTAGGAAGCAGGGTCTGGAGGAGGTGGTGCCCTCTCTTATGCCAAGGTGCTGGGTACTGGTGGTGACCCTGTTGTGCCCAGTCTGTTTGGTAAACCCTTGCCCCTAGTGGCTGGACAATGTTCCCCAAACTATCGCTGACTGCTAGGGCCACCCTCAGGAAATGATCGTTGGGGCTGAGGAAGAGGGGCACATGCTGCTCTTTCCAGGCTCTGTACCTGGTGCCCGATGGGCAGGCTGCCTCCATGTTTGTGCCATGTGACCTGGGCATGGGCCTGCCCAGCAACCACACATCTTAGATCCAGGGTCTGCCCCTCAGTCACTCGGGAGGAAGAGGTCTCGATGCGGATGGGCGGGACTTCACCTGGGACCAGGGCACAGCCAGCGGTCAGTGGCCAAGGCTGTTCAGCCTCTTCCCGGGTGCCCTATTGTGCAGACTGGATTCGAGGGAGAGTGTGGCTTCTCTCCCTTTCTAGGCCACTCAGACTTGGAAGGTAGGAATCCCTGAGGATGGGGGCTCCTCTTTCTCTTAGCCCCACCCCCAGGCAACCTTGTGCTCCCAGAGGCCCTTGCCAGGCCCCTCCACAACATTTCCCAGTCTCCAGCATGTGGTAGCTAAGAACTCAGCCCTTGGGGTCAGACTGCAGGAGCTCAGCTGCTAGCATGGCCACTTCTTGTGTGATCTTTGGGAAGCTGCCTCTGTGTCTCCATTTCCCCAACTGTAAAATGGAGAACCATCATCCTGCCTCAGAGCTAACAGGATGAAATGTGGTTAGCATGTCTATCATGAGGATTGGCATCTGGGCATCTTAGAACACAGGCATCACATCTGACCACAGTTTCCATCATGCCTGGGTCCCTGCCCCCGACCACTGTCAGTTCCTGTGTTTTCCTTTAATTGAATCTCTTTTCAAACATTTAAGTCCTTAGCTCCACTCTAGTAATAACTACCATGAACCTCAACAGGTCTGAGGTGCCCTGGTTGTTAATATACCACAGCTAGTAGATCCACTCATGAGGACAGATTGGCTTTAGGGACCTCACTGGATTGCCTATACAATGAGACAGTAGAGGGTAAGAACCCCACCATCCTTTTCCACTGAGGACCTCAATGTGGAGAGGCAAAGTTCTTTGTGTGACAGCTCCAGGTGTCTCCAGGCGGGGACACTGGGACCCAAGTCCACTGATACCACACTGGAAAGCTTGTGTTCTCAAGCCCATGAGAGAGAAAGGACCCATACCATATAGCCTGGCCCTCTGTTCTAGAACAGTGAGGGAGGGTAAGAGACAGGAGGCAGAAGTCTAAGATCAGATGCCTGCTGTCTCCAGGTCTCAGAGAGCCTGTCTTTGCCCCTTCCCCCCTCCCCCCACTGTTCTCCCTCCCTGGTCTCTTTTTCCAGAACCATACAGGGATCCTCACCAGGGACATGGACATTAGAGGTAGATGCTGTAATGGAGACCAGGACTGAAGCTTCCAGAGTGCCAGAGCTGCTCAGAAAGCTGCACACATACTCGCCCTCGTCAGCTGGGGTCACGTGGTTCAGCCGCAGCCTTGAGCCATGGGCCTGGTCAGGGGAGGGGCGAAGACAGAGGAACAGAGGGAAGGTATCAACCAAGAGGCCTGGAAGGTGGGGAGCCAGGGTCCAGTCTCCAATCCAGGTGCGTGAGGCACCCCCACAGGGGTCTCATGCCTCCTTTCTGGGCAGAGCAAACCGGACGCCCGGCCAGCATCTCTCTCATTTCTCTTCCTGATTTTGTACCTGATGATGAGCAGGGAGGCTGCCCCCTCTCTTGTGCCACGTGACCTGGGCATGGGCCTGTCCAAAGACCACGCAGTTCAAATCCAGGGTCTGTCCTTCAGCCACGTGTGAAGAGGAGGACTCGATTCTGATGGGTGCAGCATTGGTTGGGGCTGAGGACAGAGGAGAGCAGGTAGGTCTGAGTCAGACTCTCAAGTGGGGTTTAGGAACCACTGAACAGAAAACCCGTAGCCCACGGTAGTTTCAACTATCCCTTGGCAAGCACCAACAGGGTGCCAGGCACTGCTCTAAGGGCCCATATCCTTGACTCACTTAACCCTCACAATTCTGTATCCCGGGATGATAGAAATATCCTTTTATGAGAACTTTAATTTTTATTTACAGGTGTGAGCCACCGCGGTCCGTATAAGATGAAATGTATGTGTGTGCGCGCCAGACGTCAACCTTAGGATAACAAGCATGCAACATCACATCCAGCTTTTTCTTTGTTCGTTTGTTTTTCTGAGACAGGGTTTCTCTGTGTAATAGTTCTGACTGTCCTGGGACTAGCTTTGTAGACCAGTCTGACCTCGAACTCACAGAGATCCACCTGCCTCTGCCTCCCAAGTGCTAGGATTAAAGACCTGCACCACCACCACCTGGCCACATATAGTTTTTTTTATGCGGGCGCTAACTCAGGTCCTCATGCGAGCCTGGCACGCACTTTACCGACGGTGCTATCTCCCCAGCCTACAAATCAAATTTCTTTGTTTTCATCTGTAATACTTGGGCTGAGCCTAGGGTCTTTTGCATGCTAGGCAAGCGCCCTGGCATGGAGCCACGCCCCTAGCCCTCTTTTCACTTTGGTTTTGAGATTGGGTCTCACTAAGTTGCATAGGCTGGCTTTGAACTTTTGATTTTCCTGTGCTACCTTCCCAACTAGCTGAGATTATAGGCCTTTGCCACCGGACCTGGCTTATTAACTATAATCGCCCCACAAGGCTAGTGGGGTGCCACTGAGACAGTAAAGTGTTATTAGGCAGGAATGATCTGTGTTGTGTCCCCATTTCACAGTCAAGGAGACTGAGGCTTCGAGCGAAGGGTTGCTTATTCAGTCCTGAAGTGACGCAGCAGGATTCGAACACAGGCACTTTTTGGAAACCCTGGCTCTCACCTATACCCTGGTCTGTGGGCTTCGGCCCAAGGCTCTTCCTAGGGAACTGTGTTTCCCTGTTCTTCTCCTGGATCAGGAGTCAGACTCACCAGAGGGGCTGTTGGTGCGGGGGGAGACCAAGATCATGATGGAGGTCTCCCGGGCATCGATGTTGTTGTTGGCTCGGCACACGTACTCGCCGGAGTCTTCCAATGACATATGGTGTAGCTGTAGATGAGAGCCGTGGACCTGGGACAGGCGGGGAGAAGACAGACAGAGCTGGAGTCAGCAGCCACAGGGCCCCCACTGACGCCAGCTTCCCTTGCTGGGCCTGCCGAGGCTATCTTATTTACTTTGGTGTATATGTGTTTTGTGTGAGTGTGTGTGTATGTATGTGTGAGTATGGTGTGTATATGAATAGGTATGGGCTGGTTCACATGCCTGTACATGCATGTAGAGGCCAGAGGAGGGCACTGGATATTCTCCACTATGACTGTCTGCTGTGGTCCTTTGAGACAGGGTCTCTCTGTGAACTTGGGAGTGTTTTGCCAGCTAGACTGGCAGCCAGCAAGCCCCAGAGGCACCCTGTCTCTGCCAGCCTCCGTGTTGGCATTACAGGTAGGTGCAGGACCACACCTGGCTTGTTACGTGAGTGCTGGGACTTGAACTCAGGTCCTCACACAGACCAGAATGGCCCGAGAACATACTATACAGCTGAGGATAATTTCTAATCCTTGTGCCTTCACCTCCTGAGAACACAGCACAACTTCCGGGTTTATGGGGGGCTAGGGAGGGAGTCCTCATGTAAGGCAAGCACTCTGCCAGCTGAGCTACATTCCCAGCACTGCTGAGGCTGCCTTTCGTCTACCTCATGTCCAGACGGCTGGAGTGCACTGGGCATGAGAAGGAGCCCTGCCATCCTGAGAGATCAAAGGGCCACCCCACTGCCTCAGTTCCCCTCGGCACCTGGTATCTGGAAGGCAGGTTGCCCCCACGCTTGAACCACGTGACACTGGCCTGGGGCTGCCCAACCACCACACAGTTCAGATCCAAGGTCTGTCCTTCCATCACTGTGGGAGATGAGGTCTCAATCCTCATTGGTGGGGAGACACTGGGCACTGGGGACGGAGCAGGGGAGGGGAGAGAATGCAATCAGGTAAGAGTGACGATGCTGAGGACCCCTGACTTCCCAACACTCACTTGCCCCGCCCCTCGTCCACCGCATTCTCACCATGGGATGAACTGCCCTCGATGGTGACGACGAGTGAGGTCTCCTGGGAGCCAGCGCCATTACTGACGTGACACACATACTCTCCGGAGTCCGCTGGGGTCACTTGAGGGATCCGGAGGTGGGAGCCCACAATCTAGGATGGAGGCCACACCTCAGTATCACGGGCCCTACAGACACTGGATCCCGGAAGTCCCCTCCCCGACCTTGGTATCCTGGTACCCTCGGTGCCTTCTTGAGGCTCCTGGTGCGACACCCTCTGGGTCTTGGGAAGGACCCTCTAGTCTTGGTGCTGTTCCTGTACTTCACCCCTCCAAAGGCCTACTGCGCCCCCACAGTGCGCCCCACCTGTCACACCCTGCCATCCTTTAGCATGTCACCTTCCCTTTAGACCACTAGCTGCATGAGGGCTCAGCAGTGCCGGGCACACACAGTGGCTTCAGAGGAGCTCGAACCCGGACCACCAGGATCAACCTATCCCCCCTAGTGCCAGTCCAAGCCTGGCCAGCAGAGATGCTCAGTGCTTGTTGAGTGACTGAGTGAGCGCGGGACTAGGGGTTAGGATCTACTCTGGACTTCCTGCCAGACTGCTGTCCTATCTATTAGCTCTGTACCTGATGCCGGCTGGGTAAGCTGCCTCCACGCTTATACCAGGTGATGGTGTGGGGTGTGTGGCTGGTCACCAGGCAGTTCAGGTCCAGAGTATGCCCACTGGCCAGCGAGGTTGATGAGGACTCAATGCGAATAGGGTGCACCACACTCTGGGCTGGGATGAGACAGGATGCAGGTTGAGGGTGCAGCTGGGCCCCTCACAGCCCCTGCTATTCACTGCAATCTCTAAGACACTCACTGTGGGAGGGTCTGAGGTGCTGATGGACGGTGACAGGGACAAAAGCTTCATGGGTGCCGGAGTCACTGACCACTCGGCAGACATACTCCCCGGAGTCAGCTGGAATCACCTGGAGCAGTCTCAACCTTGAGCCATGTATCTGAGAGGAGTGGGACAGAGCGCCAGGTTCAGAGACCAGCATGGCACCCACTCACCAGACTCTAGTTCCCTTGCTTGGCTCCCCCCACCAGCCTAGTTAGCTAGGGACTGTACAGGTTATGCCCGGTTAAGTGGCCTTGAGCCTGCCACCTGAGACACACAGGGCTTGCAGAGACTCAGCCAGCACTTGCTGACACGAAGTCCATTTGACAGGTGACCTTAAGACTCAGAGAAGTCCAACAACTTGCCCAAGGTCACCCAGCAGGTAAGTGGCGGGGGGCCTCTGAACTGGGATACGCTTGAACCCCCAGGCTGTGCTCTCTACTCCCTAGCCGTGAGGGCTCTGTGGTCCCTTCCTTTGCTTCCCCACCTCCTACCTGATGCCGGGCAGGGAGGCTGCCTCCTCGCTTGTACCAGGAGATCTGGGGGTGAGCGTGCCCTACAACAAGGCAGTTCAGATCCAGGCTCTGCCCTTCGGCCACATGGGAGGAAGATGACTCGATCCGGACTGGATGGGTGACCCTGAATGCTAGCAACAGAGGGCAGAGTGTCGGTCTCCAGAGGATGAGAGAGAGGTGTGGGCGGGGGCAGGGGGCCCACTGGACTCGTGGAGGCACGGTGGGCAGTGTTACCTCTGGGTCCTGCTATGGCTGCAGCGGAGAGTCTCCTCCTGTGGTGTCCAGCCCTATCCACTTCCCGTCCCCTCCCAACATGGCTACTTACCAGAGTCTGCAGGCTCAATGGTGACCAGGACAGAGCTCTCCTGAGGCGCGTGCCCTCCCTCCACCCGGCACACATATTCTCCTGAGTCGACAGGAGACACCTGGTGCAGCCGCAGCAGGGAGCCATGGGTCTGGCCGAGAGAAGGTGGCATCAGAGGGGAGTTCCCCCAGGACCCCAACACAACCCCCACGATCTCCTGCCCTCTGTGAGCCCCGGGGTTTGGCCATCAGCTCTGGGCCGATCGGGTCTTGTGCATCTTCCCACGCTGCACCAATGCTAAGCACACACGCTCCAATCCCGCTCAAGATCCCCTGCAGTGGCTATCTGATGACTGGAAACATTCCCCCCACCTCAGGGGCACACAAAATAGTGCATGATGCGGTCAGTGGGGGCCAAAAGGTCAAAACCCCAGCACGCAAGGTGATTAGCCGCAAGGATGGTTCAGTACTTCTGAGATCAGTGTTCGCTGAGATCCCTGCGAATACACAACTGAACTTGGCCCTGAGACAGCTCTGAAAACAGGGACTACTATCTCCTCGTAGACCCTGAACCTACAGCACGGAGAGGTTGAGCAACTTGTCTAAGATCATAAGCCAGGGTGATAGATGGCAATTCACACTTAGGGTGGCCCGGCCTAGGCTTTAGGTCTAGACACACCTGAGTAACAGGGCCCAATGCCGCCGGTTCTCCCCACCCAGAATCCTCTTGGCTCCTTTGCCCCTGTCCTCTACCTGGTGCCGGGCAGGCAGGCTGCCTCCTCGCTTGTACCATGTGACCCGGGCCTGTCCGTGTCCCCGCACCACACAGTTTAGATCCAGGGTCTGCCCCTCAGCCACATGAGAGGACGAGGACTCAATGTGAATGGGTGGCGCACTACTCGGGGCTAGAGGAGAAGTCATAGTCAAATAAAGTCTCTAAAGCCACCCCAGTCTCCCCTCCCTCCACAGCCCAGCCCAGCCAAGTGAGCTACTCACGGTAGGCAAAATTGGCCCCGTGGTGACCTGTGACCTTGATTGTGATGGTGGCCTCCTGCCCATTGCCTGCCCGGCAAACATATTCTCCAGCATCCCCGGGAGAGGCGTGGAAGATGTACAGGTGGGAGCCGCGGACCTGGACACCATGAGAGCGGTGTAAGGGGGCTTTCCAGAGCCCAGCAGGGGTCCTATACCTGCCTACCAGACTGTGACCCCTATCTAACCTACCACCCACGTGCCCTTCCACATTCTAGGAGTGAGTACCTGGTGTCGGGCAGGCAGGCTGCCCCCATGCTTGTACCATGTGACCTGTGCGTGGGCTTGTCCTGGCACCACGCAGTTGAGATCCAGTGTCTGACCCTCAGCCACTGTGGAGGATGAAGACTCAATTCTGATGGGCAGGACGAGTTCACGGGCTGCAGAGACAGGGGAAAGGGTGCAGATACTTCCCAAGAGACAGGGCTGGAAATCCCTCCTGGAGCTGGCTCAGCCTTGTAATCTGAGGTCAGGCCCCCATTTCAGAATTTTTTTTTTTGAGACAGGGTTTCTCTGTGTAGTTTTGGTGCCTGTCCTGGATCTCGCTCCATAGACCAGGTTGGCCTCGAACTCACAGAGATTCGCCTGGCTCTGCCTCCCGAGTGCTGGGATTAAAGGCGTGCCCCGCCACCACCTGGCCCATTTCAGAAATTTGACAGCCCTGGCTTGAAGCCCTTAGCTCAGTGACTCTGTTGGAGGACCCAGGAGGACCACCTCACAGGAAGTGAAAAGAGACAGAGTGAAAGACAGGCAGGGGCCAGATGTGCTTGACACACGCCTTTAATCCCAGCACTCGGGAGGCAGAGGCACTTGGATCTCTGTGAGTTCGAGGCCAGCCTGGTCTACAGAGTGAGTTCCAGGAAAGGCAGGGCTGTTACACAGAGAAACCCTGTTTTGAAAAACAAACACACAAAAGACAGGCCGGCAGTAAGGCTCAGGTGGAAAAGGCGAGGCAGGGGTATAAACCAAGGAAGTGACATGGCCAGGGACCGCAGGACGGAAAATCTGGGTCATTCAGACAAAGCAGTCTGCCTCAAGCCAGAGCCTGAGTGGCCTACTATCCCCAGCTAGCAGTAGGAGTCACACATGGGGACATAACTCCCTAGAAGGTCACTAGGAGCCACTCACCAGGGATGGACTCAGCAGGTTCAATGGTGACCAGAACAGAGGTCTCTGTGTGCTCGGAGCCAAGGACCACATGGCACACATACTCGCCCGAATCAGCAGGGGACACCTGGTGTAGTCTTAGCAGGGGACCATGGGTCTGTGGGGATGGGGTGGGCTGAGGGTTAGGCAGGGCCCCCAGGGCCCCCATCCATCCCCTCGGGCAGGCTGGCCCTGGGGCGGCTTTACCTGGTGCCGGGCGGGAAGGCTGCCTCCACGCTTGCGCCAGGTCACCTGGGCCTGGGCAGGCACCACACACTTCAGATCCAAGGTCTGCCCCTCGGCCACATGGGAAGACGAGGACTCAATGTGGATGGGCATGGGGCTGCTGGTGCCTGGGCACAGAGAGAGTGGTTAGAGGCCCAGCATTGAACCTGATGGGCACCCCGAGCAGAGATGTGAGTACCCTTTCTTTCTCCACCTCCAGCTCCAGGGCTGTAGGCGTATCTGCCCTTGTGACCTTCAAGTGACCAGTGTAGGGACTCCAAGAACTTTCTCAGGCCAGGCAAGAGGATACATAGTAATAATGCTGCTCCCTTCTCAGAACACCTACCATAGTTTCCCGACATGCTTCACGGGGCCCATGTCACCCAAGCATACCGGACAGCTTCACAGTCCCCATCAGGCTAAGCACACCCTGACCTGACAGGTATTAAAACCACACCCACACCCAGCAGGTAACCTACAGACGGCACACTCTACTCAGGGCAGGAAAATGAAGTTGCCAGAGGTCGGGAGACCCAGCTCAAAGTTGAAAGAGGGGCGGAGTCCAGATTTGAACCCAGGTCAGCCTAACTCCCGGTTCAGTGTGGAAGCCCACACCACTGCTGTTTGCAGGTGGAGTCTTATGGGGCTTGAGGCAAGCTGGATCAGTATCCACTCAACCCCAAGACTTCGGGCTTCCAGAGCAGGCAGCAGAGGGTAACACGATGCCTCTGCACACTGATGGCCCTGGAGAGGTCACGGCATCCTTCCCTGCAGCTGGGAGAGCCTATGGCTCTGCCCCTCTCAAGCCCGCTCACAGCTCACCTGGGGTGTAGCTGGGGCCTGAATGGACGCTGTGGAGGACAGAGACAACAATGGAAGCCTCCTTGGGGCCCGAATCACTCTCTACTCGACACACGTATTCTCCAGAGTCCGCTGGTGAGACCTGGGGGAGTCGCAGCCTGGAGCCGTGGACCTGGGCAAGGTGGGGCAGAGCGAAGTGAGGAGGGGGCTGGAGCTGTGATTACCACTCCCTCTGGGCCTCCATAGTTTAGTTATCCAACTCACAGGCTCCACTTAGAGCCATTGACACTAGGCTGGGAGCCGGGAGGGAGGCAACTGTCCTGGTCCTACAGCACAGGAGAGCTTTGGCAGCTGATGCACTCCCCCACCCCACACACACACACACACAAGGCTATCTACAGTCAGTGCCTTGGTTGGTCCCCCAGCCCCAGGCTGGAAAAGTCTCCTACCTGGGCGTGGGGAGGCAGGCTGCCCCCTCGCTTGTACCATGTGATCTGGGTATAGGTCAGCCCCATCACCGCACAGTTGAGGTCAAGCGTCTGTCCTTCCATCACAGATGGCGACGAAGACTCGATCCTGACTGGCACCGACCTGGGACCTGTGGCTGTGGCCACAGTGGGATAAGGCACACCTCCAAGGAGCCTTGGCTCACCTTACCCATACTGCCAGCCCCGGAGGCCCCATACCTGAGAGGACGACCACCTGAATGCGGGCCTGAGCGGTGCCTGTGGGACTGGTGGCCACACAGAGGTAGAAGCCAGCATCGTTAAGCGTGATGGCTGGGATGAGCAGCGTGGGGATGTCTGTGTTCTCCGATCGGGCCTGCCACGGGGAGAGAGAGTGCTCAGGTGCTTGGGTGGGGGCCTGCCAGGGCAGACTTGGAAGGAGTAAGTGTTACACCAAGATCAAGGCCCAGTGGAGCTTCCAGAACCATGGAATTGGGGCCGGGCGGTGGTGGCTCACGCCTTTAATCCCAGCACTCAGGAGGCAGAGGCAGGAGGATCTCTGTGAGTTCGAGGCCAGCCTGGTCTATAGAGTGAGTTCCAGGAAAGGCACCAAAGCTACACAGAGAAACCCTGTCTTGAAAAAAACCAGGGAAAAAAAAACAAAACAAAACATGGAATTGGACATGTGGAATTGGAGACCATGGAGTCAGGCAGTAGGGGGTGAGTGGGATACAAGGGTGACTAGAATACAGGACCTAAGAAGTAGGTACAGGGAGCCTGAGGAGAGAGAGGACATAGAGGGACAGCTGGCTGGCTCACCTGGGGGGGCAGGCTGCCTCCCTCCTTCCTCCAGGTGATGCTGGCACTGGGCACTCCTGCTGCCCTGCAGTACAGCCTGACTGTGCGGCCCTCGTACACCTGGGTCCTCTCGGGGCTCACCTGGACCCTGGGTCCACTGCCCCCTGCAGACAGAACCCCTGTGAGGGTGCCTCTCTAAGCCTCCCCCAGCCCCACCTCCACCTCAGGCCCTGCCCTCTCACCATGCACCTGAAGCATGGCCCTGGCTACATGCTGCCCGGCGCTGCTGAGGGCGCGGCACAGGTACTGGCCCTGATCTGAGTGCTCGATGGCTGGCAGGCGCAGAATGCCACCGTGGATCTGAGCCTTCTGAGGGAGACGGCCACCAGGACCCCCTGGTGTGGAGACACAGGTCAGCACAGCCTGGTCCTGCTCCTGCCCTGTCCTCCTTCCCAGGAGAGCCGGGGTCTGAGCGTCACCCCCACCACGACCTCACCTGTCCATTCCAGGGTGGGTGTGGGGTTCCCTGTGGTGCTACAACGGAATTCGGCCAGTTGTCCAGGCTGCACGGTGAGCTGCGGCGGGTGAATGGAGGCCATAGGGAGAGTTGAGGTGCCTGAGATTAACGAGGGAGGAGGGAGGGTGAGATACGATCAGGGTGGGGACGACTGTTCTCTAGCTCACAGCTATGGCCCCTCGCCAGCCTCTGCTTCTGCTCCAGCCCTGCACAGCCATTTGTCCACCCAGTAGCCAGAGGGGGCTTTGAAAACTTCCTGGGCCTTGTTGCTTCCTTTCCTAAGACCTGCCCATAGAGCTCTCCTTCCCCTTTTTCAGAAGGGGACTCACGATGCTGCCCAGGCTCCGCGGCTTTTCAGTACTTCTGCCTCAACCTCCAACCGCTGGGATTACAGGCCTACCTCTTGCCCTCACTTGGTGCCTTCCCGTCCCTCCAACCATGCTCACCCTGGCATTCATCACCATGCACAAGTGCACTGTCTCTGCCTTCTCACTAGGGTCCCTTCAACTGCACCTCCCCTGACACTTCAGGAGGCCTGAGACAGTTTGTCCTTCTGTCCCCTGCTTCTCCAGAGCCTAGTGCACAGAGAGGGGACCCCTGGGGCCAGACTCAGGTCATAACAAGGCATACCCTGCACATGCAGTGTGGCGGTGCCGTGGTCCATGGCGAACATGTTGGAGCCAGTACACACGTAGTTGCCTGCATCACTTGGCTGCACGTTGCGAATGGTCAGGATGCCGTTGAAGTCCATAGCACGCGAGGGCAGCTTCTCGTTGTGCGGGCGGGTCCACACCAGGGTGTAGGCTGGAGACTGCGGGGCAACATCAGGGTAAGGGGCACGTGTGGGGTCCGGGAGCCCCGGAGACGGACTTCCCCCACCGCCCCCTGTCTGCTCACTTTGCTCTTGGCTGTGCAGATGAAGGTGACGTCAGCTCCAGGCCGCACACTCTGGCTCCGCTGCTCCTCCACGGTCACGTGGATGGGCTTGCTGGGAGCCTCTGGGAGTGGGAAGTCTCCAGTGAGCTCCACACCCCTGTTCTGTGCTCTCTTCCTGTCACTTCCTCCCACGCTTGTTTTCCCACCTCTTCTACGAGACAGGTCTTACTGTTTTCCTGGCTGGCCTGGAACTCACTCTGTAGACCAGGCTGGCCTCAGACTCAGAGATCTGCCTGTCTTTGTCCCTCAAGTAAGCTTGCTCTCTTTTAAGATGGGGTCTCATGTCCTGGCTTCAAACTCCTTATGTAGCTAAGAATGACATTAAACTCTTGATCTTCCTGCCTCAGACTCTAAAGTGCTGGGGTTACAGGTTTGTGCTAGGTTTTTTGTTTTTTTTTTTTGAGACAGGGTTTCTCTGTGTAACTTTGGAGCTTGTCCTGGAACTCGCTTTGTAGACCAGGCTGGCCTCAAACTCATGGAGACCCACCTGCCTCTGCCTCCCGAGTGCTGGGATTAAAGGTGTGCGCCACCACTGCTCGGCTCACACCTAGTTTTTATGTAACATATATAGTGTGTATATATACATGTGAGTATAGGTGCCTGCAGAGCTCAGGAGAGGGCATCAGATCCTCCTGAAGCTGGAGTTACAGGTGATTATAAGTTGCCTAGACCGGAAGAGCAACGTGGCTCTTCACCACTTAACCACTGAGCCGTATCTCCAGTCCCAACACCTGGTTTCTGAGTGGTTCAAATACAAGGCTTTGTGCGTGGCTGGCAAGCCCCCTACCAGTTAAGCCACATCTCCAGCCCACCTCCTCTGGACATCCCTTCCTTCTTAGTATAGCTGGGATGCCATTCCACTTCCTGGTGCCTCCCTGGACCCCATCACCCACATCTCTCCCTGCTGGCACTGAGTAGCCAGCACTCAGTCCAGTGGGGGTGCACGGGCCCCACTTCATCATCCCAGGCCACGAATGAGCTCTTAACCCTTCACACTTCACTGCAACTGGCTTCCCCATCCGCTCCTAGTTCGAGAAGCCGGACAGCTGTCCCCAGACAGCTCCTTCTCACCTCCTCCCATCGCCCTCAACCTCCCCACTCATCCTTCCACCTTAAAGCCCATGGCTTCAACTTACACGTGATCAGGAAGCAGAAACTCCCAGTCAGGTGGATTTCTATCTTTCCTGTCCTCCTTTGTCCCTGAATGATGGGACCATGCTTCTGCGTGCCCCCATCCCACCCTGCATTTCAGAGCACTGGATCCTTCCTTCCTCTTGCACCCCACCAATCCCTGCCTCCTGTCACTGCTTCACAGACCAATGTGTTCTAGAAACTTCCACATCTGAAAATGTCCCCTTTTGTTCCTCATACTTCCAGATACTGACACATTGCTTACTTGACCTCTCTTCAGACTTGGACTTTCTTTCCTTTTTTCTTTTTTTGTTCTTTCGAGACAGGGTTTCACTGTGTAGCCCTGGCTGTCCTTAAACTCACTCTGTAGACCAGGCTGGCCTTGAACTCAGAGATCTGCCTGCCTCTGCCTCCTGAGTGCTGGGATTAAAGGCCTGTGCCACCACCACCTGGTGACTTTTTCTTTTTTTCTGGACAGGCTCTTGCTACACAGTCCAGGTTGGCCTCCGAGATCCACCCGCCTCAGCCTCCTTCCTCAAGGTAGATACCATCACACCCTGCTCAGACCCAAGACTCTTGTGAGAGTTTCCACCTGTTCCTTGAGTCTACACCGATTGAGTTTTCACCTCTGTCAATCTGTCCTGCCAGAGTCCAACCTTCACAGTATTTCTCTGCCTGTATCATAATTCCTACAGTGGTGCTGGGTGAGCAGCTCTTCTAGAAACCTTTGCCCCAGATCACATCCTGGACACCTCTCCCCTACTTCCTCCAATCTCATGGGTTTCTCTTCTGGCTTTTTCTCTCCTTCCTCTCCAGCTTGACAGGTTGGCCTTAGAGCTTGGTGGGTGCTATCCTGGGTCCTGTCCTGAACAGGACTTAGCCAATGACCAAGACAAGCTGGCACACACGGACCGGGTAGGGCACGGTAACTCTGGGGTTCCCCATTTCCTCGGCCACATTAAACAACTCAGCAAAAGCTGCTTATGGTGGCCATTCACTCGACCATGTCCTCCCTCAGTCAATTCTTCTCTGCTCCCCTCCCTGGTTAGAATCCTACACTGCCTCTGCTTTGGGGACCCCAAATCAAGACACTTTCCAGGCCAAGCCTTCCTCATGAAAGTAAATGGCACCCAGGCCCCAGGTAGTATCTTTTCCCTTCACCTTTATGAATCATAGTGAGTCCTGCAGATTCTGCCTCTGAAACAGATGTGAATGCACCACTTCCCCCATCATCACAGCTACTGTCCTTGTCAGGCGGCCACTGTCCTCTCTAGGCAGATGTTAGCAGGGACGGGGAAGCAGGGGCTCACCAGTGACCAGGAGCTCAGCCTTGCTGTTGCTGGTATGATGTAGGTTTCGGCAGGTGCAGATGTAGACGCCGGCATCAGAGGGCTGCACGCTAGGGAAGTAGAGCTCTGAGCCTGGTGTGGGGAGATGCTTGTCAGGGTCCAGCTCCACATGCCCCCGCAGGGCAGGAACAGGGCTGACTCGTGGGACAGAAGAGGCTGTGGGTCTGTGGCTACCTTGATGCCGCTGCTGAGCACCTCTGGGCAGGGGCCGCCCATCTTCACGGGACCAGTAGAAGTAGTGAGGTGGACTGCCTTCGACCTGGCACCTCAGGGAGTGTGAGCCTCCTTGGTTAACCACGCTCCGAGAGGGATGGATGTGCACCACCAAGGAATCTTTTGCTAATGGTGTGGGGGAAGGAGGCCATTCAGCCAAAAAGTCCCAGCATAAAGCAGTGTCCCCGACACTGGTCTCCCAAAGCCCCAGGTCCCCAACCTCAGAAATTCTATTCCTCACACTCCCTCTCCCATCACCCTGGGTCATGGTCCTACTTACTCAGTGGCTGGCACCGGCCTCCTCGCAGATTGGGGTTACCCGCATAGCCTGGGGCACACCTGTTAAGAGGAATGGGGACCAGCTCTGGAATCCCCAAGGGATCTAGTGTCTAACCTAACTTGAGCCCAGTTCAGCCAGCTGCCCGTGGTATGTGGAGGAAGCTCGGGGTTCTGGAAAGACTCTGAGGACCAGAGAGGTTCCAACACAGGGCCTCAGTGAGCTGAGACAAAAGTTGCTAGTGGGCGGGTAATGGAAGAGGTAAGCCTGCCATTCATTCTACAGGGAAGCGTTCATTCAACAGACATTCTCTAGGGAACTGCTGAACACCAGACCCCATGCCCGGTGGGAAGGCGCAACAGGAAACACGGCAAGGTCCCGGTCCGTGGACAGGAACTTGATGGAAAAGGAGACTGAGGGAAGGTCACAGAGGCCACGTGGACCCGGGGAGGAGGGTTAATCCAGCCCTGCGGCCGAGAGACTACGAAGCCTGGCTCTACGCTGCTATGGGTCCCCTGGAGCAGGCTGCACACAGCTTCCAGAGGACTGATCGAACTGGGAAATGCCTATCTTGTAGGTGGTCCCTCCCCCAATTCATTTCCTATTCTGCTTGTCAGGGTCCAGCAGCCTCTATTCAGACACAGGATCTGCTCTGTTTGCCAGTTTATCCTCAGCACTTCAGCACATGGAATACACACAGTGGGTGCTCAGTAAGAATGCGCTGAGCCCTGCATGGCCACCCACACCTGTAATTTGGGAGGCTGAGGTTTCAGGTCAGCCTGGGTTACACAGAGGTGGAGGCCATCTTAGGCTTATACTGAGACCCTGTCTTAACCTGCCCACCCCCTCCAACTTGTATTTAGTGTTAGATAAATACAAGAGGCTGAATCTTGAAGGCCAAGAAAAGTTAGCCAGGAAGGGGAAAGTTTGGGGGGTAAAAATGTTCTGCACATAAAGATCTAAGTACTAAGAATTCAACAAGTTTCCAGGTATGGTGGGTGGTACATATCTGCAATCTCAACACTGGGAGCGACACAGCCCGGGCTACATAGTGAGGCCTGTGCCTTAACAATTAAACAAAGCAAAAACCCAAACAATTCAAGAAGTTTATACCATCTGGTGTGAGGTGTAGAGCGGGAGAGGCAGGTCTGAAGCACGGTTAAATCATAAGTCCTACCTTGTCATCCCAAGGCCAGCATGAGTGAGGGAAGTGTTTGGGGCAGGGAGGGACATGAGAGGCTTCTCTGAGCCACACCCTTCAGGACTCTCACCTGGGAGTCTCTCATTTATCCCTTCTCTTCCCACTTCCGTCTGAGAACTTACTGCTCACAGTACTGGCCCGTGTAGCCAGGTTCACAGGCGGTGCAGCGGTAGCCTCCATCTCCAAGGCTCTCACAGGTGCGGGAGAACCTGGGGCAGGCAGGCAGATGTCAGGCCACAGGAGCCCAGCCCCCATCTCGCGCCTCCACCCTCCAGCAGGAGCCCATCCCCGGGTCTGGGCAGGCACGCACATGTTCTCTGGGTGAGTCAAGGGGCAGGCACATGGCTGGCAGTCCTCCGGCGTCCCGGCTGTGGCATCGCCGTAGTAACCAGGTGCACACAGCTCACAGAACTCACCGGCAGTGTTGTGCTGACATTGCTGTGGGGCACAAGGGCAGCGTCAGACACCAGCTAGGAAGCTAAAACCCCCAAACACTCGTCTTAAAGAAAAGTCACGGAGGGGGCTGGAGAGATGGTTCAGCGGTTAAGAACACTGACTGTTTGCTCTTCCAGAGGACCCATATGGCAGCTCGCACCTGTCTGTCACTCCAGTTTCAGGGGACCTGACACCCAAGGCAAAACACCAATGTACATTAAAAAAAAAAGTTATGGAAGGACACACAGTTTAATTATAGTGATGCCCATCAGCTCAGCAGTGCTGAAAAAAAGTATCCATGGGGGACTCGGATAAACCAAAAAGTCTATACCCAATGGGCTTGGGGATGATGCACCAGTAACATCGGCTTTGGGGGGAGGAGGAGATCAGGAGTTCAAGGTCATCCTTGGCTACATAGTGAGTCAGCTCTGTCTCAGAAAAAAAAATTAGTGTGTGTGTGTGTGTGTGTGTGTGTGTGTGTGTGTGTGTGTGTG